TTATATCCATTTATGAAATATGCTGGCCAACTTCGAACTCTTAACTGTGGACCCCATGACAGATAATGTAGCAATCCTTGCCCTCTAATTTCATCATAATTACTGTGAACCTAAGGTTATACATGCAAAGTTAATAATATATATTTAACTAAATGATGTATATAATTTTAATAACGTGGTTTTGATCCATAGGCAACTTACATATGTCTTGAACCATGCTGCAAATTGTTCATCGCACAAACGGTCAAACTCATTTGGTTGTAGTCCAAACATTGAAGTTTGGAAAATCCTAATATTAAAAACCATATCATTATTAGCAAATATTTGACACGCAAAACATATATTTACAAATTTACACTTACTTGAAGTATGGCTCGACTTCTGGACAGTTCAGTAAAATATAAGTATGGGCTGCATGAAGTTCTTCGCCTGATAAGTAACGAAACTGACATCCGCCGCTTGGTCGACCCAGATAATTGAAAATAGGGAATGCTGTGCAATTGGGATCAATGGGGCCCTCATCATTTCTGCCTGCTCTCCGCCTCTTGCATTGAACGTGCGGCTCAAAATAGTATGATGCAAATGTTGTCACTTCTTCCACAATATATGCATTACAAATTGAAGCTTCAACATGTGCCTTATTCTTCACTTTTTTCTTCAAATGATATAAGAATCTAGTTGAAATAGAAAGAAGCTTATCGGGACATATTATATGATAAACTCATTTGAACTGTATTTTAAAGAAAACATTACCTCTCAAATGGATACATCCATCGAAATTGGACGGGACCTGCAACTTTGGCCTCATAAGGCAAGTGAACTAAGAGATACTCCATTGAATCAAAAAACGCTGGAGGAAATATTCTTTCTAAGTTGCAAAGAATAATTGGAATATCTTTCTCTAGTTTTTCCATGTGCGATGCTTTTAACACTGTCGAGCAAATATCATGGAGGAAATTGCTTAATTCTGTAATGGCGCCCCATACAAAGTTCGGTAAAACTTCCTTCAAAGCTATTGGAATTAGTCTTTCCATCAGGATGTGACAATCATGACTCTTCAAACCTGTCAACTTGCATTCCTTTAAATCAACACATCTCCCGAGGTTCGAAGCATATCCATCAGGAAACCGCACAGATTTCAACCATTGACAAACAACTCGCCTCGGCTCCTTATCCAATGTATAAACTGCTTTCGGTTTTGGTCCCCTGTTGCTTGCATCCACAGCTAGTATTGGCCGATCGCAAATATCTCTCATATCTTTTCTTGCGTTCAGGTTGTCTTTTGTTTTTCCGACGACATCCATCACAGTATTTATGACATTGTCGAAAACATTCTTTTCTATGTGCATGACGTCAAGATTATGATGAATAAGATGGGCCTTCCAATATGGTAGATCCCAAAATATACTGCGTTTGATCCACTTATGTGTACTTCCGTACTCAAAAGTCGTGCCGTGCGGGTTTTCAATAACAGTTGGAAAGTCCTGCACACGCTCCCAAATTTGATTGCCAGTCAACCTCAATGGTGGACGCGTTCTTTCAGTCCTATTCTTGCTGAACTCTTTCTTATTCCTTCTGAAAGGATGACTTGGCGGTAAAAATTATCTGTGACAGTCAAAATAGCTAGGCTTCTTTCCATGTTTTAATCTAAATGACTTTGTCCTCTCCAAACATATCGGACATCCTAAGATCCCAGCTGTACTCCATCCAGATAACATTCCGTAAGCTGGAAAGTCATTTATCGTCCAAAGAAGGGCAGCCTTCATAACAAATGTTTGATCGGTAGAAACGTCATACGTAGGGACACCTTCAACCCATAGCCGTTGTAACTCCTCAATCAATGGTTGCATATAAACATCTATCAACTTTTTCGGATTTTGCGGCCCTGTCACGATCAATGTCAAAAACATATAAGGTGTCTTCATGCACATACCAGGTGGAAGATTGTACGGCGTTAAGATAACTGGCCAGCATGAATAACTTTTTCCTGTTCTCCCAAATGGAGCAAATCCATCGGCACGAGACCTAACCCGATGTTCCGAGGCTCCATTGCAAACTCGGGGTATGTTCTATCAAAATGTTGCCATGCCTCTCGCATCGAAGGATGACACATTAGACCCTCTTCTGTTTCATGATTTGCATGCCAAGTCATGTGTTCAGCAGTAGCTTTAGATGCATAAAACCTTTGCAATCTGGGGATTAAGGGCAGATAAAACATTTGCTTGCATGGTTTACGCTTCTGATTACGACCCGGCCTCCTGTTAATCTTGTACCTAGGTTGGCTACAGAATTTGCAAGATTCTGCATTTTCATCATCTCTCCAATATATCATACAACCCCTACTACATACATCAATCCTTACAACCGGAAGACCTAAATTATCCACTAGCTTTTTCATATCATAAAAATCACTTGGCATGTTGTTATCACGAGGCAATGATTCCCGCATTACTTCAACAAAAGAGTTGAAGCAATCCGCAGACACATTATGCTCTGCCTTGATATTTAATAGTCGGGCTGTCACCGATAACTTAGTGTGGTCCTCACAATCTGTCCATAGAGGTTCATCTGCTGCTTTCAAGACATCCCAGAACTGATTAGATTGAAAAGTTTCATTATACACATTCTCCTCAAAACCCGTTACTCCTATATCTTCCAATTGTGAAGCATGACTAGTACCCACTTGTTCACGTGTAGGAGTAAAACTAGTATTTGCATGATTTGCTTCTGTGACAAAATTATAACTAGCTGCATCAATCACCATCCTCTCGTATGGGTTCAATTGCTCATAATAGCCACATTCTTCCCTAACTGAAAATTGGTCACTTCTTCCATATCCTTCATCAGATATAAATGGTTCACCATGGGAAGTCCAATTATAATAGTTCGGAGTAAACCCAAATCTAATAAGGTGTTCTCTAACTTGATCACACACAAGAAATTTACCATTACCGCACTTTTTACACGGACACCTTAACTTATTTCCATCCATAAACTCATATTTACTACTAGCAAAGTCTAAAAATAGTTCCAATCCAGTACGAAACTCATCTGTCAATCCTTGACGTCCAGGTAAGTTCTTATTATACATCCAAGCCCTTTCTCTTTGCATTGTGTCTGTATTAAAATAAAAAATTCTGGTAAAATATTTAAAATATCATATCTATTGTTGTTAATTAAAACCATAAAATTTTGGAAATTATAATTTATGTTATTCACGCAACAATTAATATCAAATTGCAAAAATAGAAAAAACTACAATGTAAAGAAGACTTACCCAAATATTTGACTGAAATATTTGTAGGAGAAAGTAATCAATTTGATGAGAATTGCAACGTCCACTTGGATTGCGAGACCTTCAATTAGGCACATACCCAAAAAAGAATAATCACTTAAGAATCATTTTTTAATAATTTTTAATGTGCGATGGAAACGGAATGTATCCGTCGCAAATTTGCGACGGAATTAGTTTTGCGTCGCAAATTTCCAACGGATACTCAACTCCGTCGCAATTTGCGACGGAATTTTCATTTATTCGTCGCAAATTTGTGACGGAAGACTATTTCCGTCGCAAATTTGCGACGGATACTCAAATCCGTCGCAAATTTTGCGACGGAATTTTCTTTATTCGTCGCAAATTTGCGACGGAATCAGGTATCCGCCGCAAATTTGCGACGGAAATAGTCTTCCGTCGCAAATTTGCGACGGATACTCAAATCCGTCGCAAATTTTGCGACGGAATTTTCATTCATTCGTTGCAAATTTGCGACGGAATTTTCATTTATTCGTCACAAATTTGCGTCGGAAACTATTTCCGTCGCAAAACGGCGTGGCCGTTCGGCCTCATCCAAAGGCCGGCGAGGTGTCACCGGTCGTTAAACCGGTGATGCAGATACAAAAAAAAAAAACAAACATAAACATATATTAAAAAAACGGAAATTACAATGCAACGACGAATAGTCACGAAGCTAGCTACGACACTTACCGGTACAAAAGCTTCACCGAGATTAATATGTGCGTGCGCGGATTTTGCTTATTTCAGACAAACGAAAGAGGGAGAAAAACGAGAGAGAGCGAGAGTGAGAGATAGGGTTGGAATATCACGGGCTGATAAACTACGAATTTGCGACGGACGAAGTTTTCGTCGCAAATTTGCGACGAACATTTTTCCGTCGCAAATTTGCGACGGATTGTATTTTTGCGACGGAAAAACGTTCGTCGCAAATTTCGTGTTTTTTTGTAGTGGAGGTTGCACCAAATCCCAACATGGTGTCAACCATGAAAGGAATGTTCAAAGAGTAGTAGAATGATATGGCCAATTATATTGTGAGTCATATATTTGACGTAATCAAGCCAATCATCATCAATATTGTGAATGCATGCTATCTAGGCCAAGATCATTTAGTGGGTATGTTTATAGTCTTTCTCCATTTATTGATGCTAATAATATTGGTCGGAGTAGTCAATCCCTATAAGAATTATGCAAATGCATGAATCTTCTAATCAAGGTCGGAATAATGGCAATAATCAAGCTAATGTTGGTCAAAATAACCAAATTGCTTATATAATTTGGCAAATCAAACTGGTTGACAGGCCGGTCAATTGCCAGACATTAAAAATGTTAGGCTAGTGGCTCCACTGATACTACCCAATGTGAATCCTATTGGGCCTAACATGTTGATTAACGTAAATTATTCTGGCAAGACTAGTATCACCGCCTAGTCATTAACATATAATTCAATTAGATCCGCTTTCAACCAAAAAAATTAAACCGATTTAAATACAAGTCAATTAATATATACCATCTGCTCTACATTACATCACATCCCAAATGCAAGACTTCTTTTAGGTTAAAACCCTCACACGTGAATCTTAATAGCATGACATTTAACGATAATTACCTTAGTAAGATGGCAATATAAAGAAAAAGGTGCGTAGAATTTATATAAAATTGAAACTACAATTGGAATACAAGAACACAGAATAGACTATTTGGGATAAAAAACTAGTAATCAAAGATCAAGAAAGGGCAAGTAGAACACTTATAAAAATGTAAATGTAGAACAACATCTTCTTTGAAGGTCAGAGTCTCCTTACAAGAAGATCCACTCCGAATTCAGGCTCTATGACCAACCTCAGAGCTGGGGAGTGTCTATACTTGGGCGAGATTGAGAAGGAGAAGTTGGAAATTATGAGGGCCAGGAGGACTTTCAGCTCGGCCATCGCAAAGTTCTGCCCTAGACACGTGCGAGGCCCGACCCCGAAGGGCATGTACGCGTACTGGAGCTTGCACGCTCCGGTGACTCCATTTGCGAAACGCTCCGGGTCAAACCGATCCGCGTCCGGTCCCCAGATATTGGGGTCTTGGTGGAGGGTCGCCGTGAGGGTCCAAACGTTGACACCTTTTGGGACTTGGATGTTCCCAAGCTTCATGTCTTCAAGTGCCTCTCTTGAGACAACGGCCACAGGTGGGTAGAGACGTAGCGACTCATTGATTACCATCGTCAACTGCAATCAATACCGTGTTTCGGACTAATTAGTTTGTGTTCACAATGGAAAAAGTTCATTTCACTGCTAAGACCAAATGTGTTTTTTGTTGTGAGTGACTAATGCATAAAGGAAAAGTTTCAAACTAAACCGTTTTCATCTTCCGAATCATGTCAGCATCGGGATATTGGCCACCACGCAACAGTTGCATGACCTCCTCGCGTACTTTGGCTTGCCATCCCGGATTCAAGGCCAGTAACATCAACGTCCACGAGGCCGCGACAGCAGTTGTCTCGTAGCCAGCCAAGTAGATGTTCTTGCAGTTGTCCACTACAAAATGGTCCATCACATCTCCGCGTCCCGGCTCGCCACTGTTTTTAGTGCCTTCGAGTATCATCTGAAGCAGGTCCTTCTCTGAGGTTGCTTCCTTTCGTTCCTTCACTACCTTCAGGATTAAGGACTGAACCTCTCTCTCCAGCTTCCATATTTCCCTGTTGCTCTTGGTTGGCAAGTATCTAGGGGGAAATTGCCATGTTTTCGTTAGTTATTTTCGTTCTCTGAAATAATTAATTTCGTGTAGGAATAATACATTCATGTGCTCTTTTGCAAACTCTCTTACTACATAGGACGCATGCATGGAATGATGAATAACCAATTAAAGATCGCTAAATCACTTAATAAGAGAGTTTTAATAGGAGGTAGCGGCCAGTTAGCTCCTACATTAATTATATAATGGACATTTCTTTGGAAAATATAGCTTCATTGATTAACCAAAAAGCAATGGGCGCAATTTTAGTTTTTTTGTTTCAACTGGTACACAAATTAAAGATACTTTCAATTTCCATAAAAAGATTCTTTATCAAGTAATTCATCTGAATAAATTACCTAAATCCAGGGATTGTAGAGGTGAAGGCTATCTTGGAGATTAATTCTTGGAGAGCTCTAAGCTTCAAGAAAATCTCTTGTCCCTTGGCATAGTTGCTCCCAAAGCATGCCTTGGAGATCACATCCCCAGAAAAGCTCCTCATGTGGCTGTCAATCTTAATTTCAGCAACTCCTCCTTCCTTCTCAATCTTTTCACTCCAAGAATTCACCAAAGTAATTGAAGACTCCACCATGACGTTTATCATACCCTACACAGAGATTTATTACCATAAATAATCATTCAAACGGTGTCTAGATTATTAAAAATAGCCACTTGAAACTCTAGTCTGGTTTGGCTGAATGGCTCACCAAACTCTACCCAAGCTTCAAGAAAATAAGATGTGTCAGGTAATCAACTAACTCCCTTTAAGCCCTCTTTAATTGCGAGGGACATGTCCCATTTGGACATAGCAAAAATATTCCATGTGAAAATCTTTTCATTTCATCAGATACATGACCACTTTCTTGGAATGCATTATGATTGCTTATCTTTCGTCACGTCAGCCATGCGCTCGATGCGTTAAGCATGTTCTCTCTCTCTCAAGGAATAATCTTGGGTCTATGTGCGAATAGAGAGTGCCTGTGTGTTTAAGATCACCTTAACTTTGTCGACGTAAAACTCAGTAGCAAGAATCTTTCTCTGGTGAGCCCATTTGGCGCCATTGGAGGTCAAAATGCCTTGGCCAAGCAAAGGACCCATCACCTTCTGCTGGTAAGAAGGCTTTCCAAAGTCCAACGACATGCAAGTGCTTATTTCCCTCACTGCCTCCTTATCGTACACGTACAGGATCTGCAGAGTCCCCATCGAGAACATGAAAACAATCCCTAAATGCCCAAAAAAACAAAACATTGCATTGTTTATTAACCAAAGACAAATCTCATTGCAACTGAGTGCGATATGATCAATTAATTGATTACCATATTGTTGTCTCCAGCGATCCAGGAATGGGAAGAGCTTGGAGGAGCAGTTGTGCGTTATGGCTTGTTGATCTTCTCGTGATGGTGATTTTATGCAGGAAATGGTATAGCCCTTTTCATTCTTACCACCAATACTTTGTGTTCTGGTTGGTCCAAATAGATTCATATGAAGAAGCTGTAAAGCACGATTAGTGGAAACATGATGTATAGATTTAAAAGAGCTTCTTACTTGTTTTCCTAGAGTGCAGGCATTGCATAACTCTGTTTTCTTGTATTTCAAATCTGGCAGACCTCGAACCAGTTTCTTGTTTGAGATCTTTGAGATTTGTTTCATACTGATATGCCCCAATCTTCTGTGCCATAGATCTTCATCCTCTTTGATTGAGGTCAAGCAATGAGTAGAGTTTGGATTGACATCTAGAAGATAAATATTGCCATGTCTTCTTCCTGTGAATGTTTGAGAAGAATCTTTGCTTGTTCCTGAGCATGTATCTTCTTGAAAGTTGATTCTGAAACCTGTATCATATAGTTGGCTTATGCTGATCAAGTTGTAGTTGAGTCCTTTTACCAATGAGACATCATTGATTGTGAGTCATCCAATTTCAACCGTTCCTTTCCCAACTATTTTTCCTTTGTTATTTCCTCCAAAGGAAACTTTTCCACCATTTAGACTTTGTAGATCAACGAATATGCTTGGATCTCCTGTCATGTGTCTAGAACATCCATTGTCTAGGTACCACTTTCTTTTTCTTTTCGTGGTAACCTGCAAAAATCACAATATCTCAAGTTTTCTTTGGTACCCAAATTTGTTTGGATCCTTGAGGATTAGTATAGGCTGTCTTAACAAAGTCTCCTCGAACAGGTCTCCAGACCTTAGGACATTCATTCTCAAAATATTGTGGATCTCCACATTTTGAGCACCTGAGTGCACTTCGGCCAACAGGTTTGACAAAATTCCTTTTGAAATGGTTTTTATAAGCTTGTCGATGAGGTCTTTGTTTTAATCTCTCCTTGACCTTTGGAAAATCAATCAAGTTATCACTTTCCTTCACAAATCCGAGACCAGATTTGTTATAGTAAGGAATTTGGATAGAAAGGATATGCTTCAAGGTTTCTGAACCTTTTAAAAATTTGGAAGTAATTTCTGAAACTTCCTTTTTCAAAATAGCATTTTCTTTGGAAAGAAAATCTCGACTTTCCTTGATTTGATGAAATTTGTTTTGAAGGAAATCGATTTTTTCTTTTTGAAAAATATCCTGTTGCCTCAATGATGAATTTTCCTTTTTCAAAGAAGAGATTCTTTTAAGAGCAGTCTTAAATTCAAAACATAATTCATCAATATAATTCGATACTTCTATAGGCATATCAGAATGCTTTACCTCAATTTCCATTTTAGGATCAGAATCTGAATCAGAATCTGAGTCTGACTTAGCCATTAGACAGAAATTTGAGATATCTTCATCACTGTCTTCGCACTCTGTATCACTCCAGGTTTCTGCCTTTAAGGCCTTCTTTGCTTTCTCAAACTTGGTCTTCTTTTTCAGAAGTGGACAATTAGGCTTGATATGTCCACGTTTCCTACAGTGAAAGCATATTACATCCTTTGATATCTCTGTTTCATCGATAGACTTCTTTTTCTCAAAAGGCTTCTTCCCTTTGAGGTTTCTTCCTTTGATCTTCATCTTCTTATACTTCTTTATGAAGAGAGCTAGTTCTTCATCGTCAACATCTTCATCTTCAGAATCTGCATCAGAATCAATGTTAGTTTTTAATGCAATTGACTTATTACCTCTGGATTCATTCTCCTCATTCCGATGCTCAATCTCATATGATTGAAGAGTTCCAATCAACTCATTTACTGATAGAGGCTTGATCCTTTGTGTCTCTCGAAGAGATGTTTTGATATTATCCCACTTCATTGTCAGTCCTCTCAGTAGTTTGTTGACTTTCATTGCATCTGGGACTGGTTGTCCTTGGTATGCAAGACCGTTTACTATGTCAGTAAACCTGTCATACATATCAACAATTGATTCTTCAGGCTTCATTTTGAAGGATTCATATTGTCCAAGCAAAAGATTGATTTGAGTTTCCTTGGCTCAATCTGTTCCTTCATAAGTAGTGTGGAGCGTATCCCAAATTTCCTTAGCTGATTCACAAGCAGTAATTTTTTTATATTCAATAGGAGATAAGGCACAATATAAAGAATAGATTGCTTTGGAATCTAAGGTTTCTCTTTTGGATATCTCAGTTTGAGATAATGGAGGATCTGCTGCTTTGCTAGCATCTGCCTTTTCTTTTGAATCAGAAGATTTTGGATTGACTCCTCTGATGATGACATCCCATTGCATGTGATCAATTGACTTAATGAATGCCTTCATCTTATTCTTCCAGACACTATATTCCTTGCAATCGAAATATGGTGGTCTGTTGTTGCTTTGTCCTTCAATGAGACCTGGAGCACTCAAGCTAGCCATATAGATCGTTAGCTCAGAAGTAAAACACTTCAATGAATGAGCAACCTGCTCTGATACCAATTGATGTAGCTAGCAAGGATCACCTAGAGGGGGGTGAATAGGTGATCTTACTCAATTTTTATATTTTTATGCGGAAATGAAAAATCACAGATGAGTCTGAATAAAATTCAGATTCAAGACAGATTGTATAGACAGTGCTCTTGATGTGCAGAATGTAAAATAAGAGATAAGGGATAGAGAATCTGCACACAAGTTTATAGTGGTTCGGCTTATAGTAAGCCTACGTCCACTCTCCCACGCTGACAGCTTACCGGCTGGATTTCACTATGTAATTAATGAGGAATTACAGCTTTTGAGTGACAACACTCTTGTGTATGATAGGACTCTCTATCTCACACAATCACCCTTACAAAGTATCCCTCAAGATCTTAATTTTTTTTGGCTCAGCAAGACAAGAGAAAAATGATCGGAGTGTGCTCAGACTTTAGACTTGTTGATTCTTGATTCTGTACTCTCTTCTGCTGCTCGTTGATCTCCTTAAATACTCCTCTATTTCCACACTAGCCGTTGGACAGCTATCAGAGGATCATCTTCCAATCTTCACCTTGGACAGATTTGTATAATAAGGATTGAGTAGCCGTTGGATGACAGATTCTGAATCCCGCTGATTCTGGTCGCCCATACAATCAGAATCTTGGTTTCCATAAGTAGAGTTTTGTCCGTTGTAATGCATACTTGTCGTAGTATTTGATTGTCAATCAATTATAGCCTTAGATTGAAACAATCAAAACTTTCCTTCTGTGAAATCCATACCGGATCACTAGCTGTTATGTTTGGTTCTGAATTCTGCGTCTGCGTCTGCATCTGAAGAAATTCTGCGTCTGCGTCTGCATCTGAAGAACTTCTGCGTCTGCATCTGAAGAAATTTTGCGTCTAAATCTCAGAACTAAGATTAAGTGGGTCTTCAATAAGGTATTTGATAGCTTGTAAAGTCTGAATAACTTCCTTCTGAACTTCCAGAATATACATATCTGGAATAAATTAGTTCAGAATAAGTATCAGATTTACAATAATACGGAAGGTTTTGTCAACTTCAAAATTAATAGGAGTTTTTCTCAACTAGAATAAGTATCAGATTTACAATAACATGGAAGGTTTTGTCAACTTCAAAATCAATAGGAGTTTTCCTCAACAATCTCCCCTTTTTTTATGGTGACAAAACTTCCCTGCAGATTGAATCAATTTGAAATTAATTTGAAAGTAAATAAGCATATTAAGCGCATGAAGCACATATTGAAATTGAAAGAGCAAACTCTATTGATATCTGTGTCTTTTTCTTCCTTTTTATATAACATGCATATGATCAGCATATTAATGTTAGTATAACAAATCTGCATATAATTTCTCCCCCTTTTTGTCATCAGCAAAAAGAATGATAGAGAGAATAAAGCATTGATATAAATTAACCAAACTGTCTAACAAGGAGAATTGTTAAGAATATTATAGACCAATTGAGAAAGAGATGGTTTTGAGAAAAATGTTAAAAAGCAGGCTATTTTTTGGAAGGAGTAGGAATGAGTTGAAAATTTTCCAATATAGAGACAGCTTCCTCAATCTTCGAAGAGCATTGACTAATAGCTTTGTCCATGTTGATTGAGCACAGAGCAATAGCTTCCTCAAGTTCTGCTTTGTCCTTTGCTGCCTGAAGATGTTGAGTCTTGTTGTTTTCCTCAACAATATGCTGTAGATTCTTCACATCTTTTTCAAGAGCAGCTTGCTTATCTTTGATCTCGAGCAGAAGAGAGAGAATGGTCTGATTTT